CCCCCGCTCAGCAATGGCAGGGTTGCAGGTTCTAAGCCCCCAGGCCGGCTGGCACCCCCCCCGCACCCCATCAGGCGCCGCTAGGGAGGGATCGGCCCCCGCGTGTGGGGAAGGGGCCGAATTTCAAGGGGCCGCACGGCCCAAGCGGGGAGGGGAAGGAGCCGGCGAGGGGGAGAAGACAAGTAGCGAACACGCGGGCCCGGCCCCTGTGCTAGTGACCTTCCATATGCTCCGGGCGCGCGGAGGTAATTGGAACAAATGCCGTCTGAAAGAGGTACAAAAGGGGGCAGCTGGAGCTTTGTTCCCGGGCCCACACGCGGGGGGGCGGGGGCTGAGTGGGAGCGGGGCTCTGTTCAGGCAGACAGCTTCATCACAATGGCCCTTTCTTACTTGCTGCGGGGGTGCAAACTTGGCCAAGGACCGGACGGAATCTCGAACAGGGGGATTAGAGGGGATCTCGACAAGCTGAGCTCGCATTCAGGGCGAGGGAGGGCGGGGTGTGTGTGCGGGGGGGGAGCCCTTCAAACAGATGCCACAGGAAGGGTGGCAAAGTCATGGCAACCGGCCCTCACCTTCCCTCCTACCCGCTGCCTTGGCCAGTTGGGTCCTTAGCTCGTTGGTTTCTGGGCGAGAATGATCCGTGATCGGTATCTCCGGGCCAATGAGCAGCAGGGGAGGGAGGGAGAGAGGAAGAGAGAGACAGAGAGAGTGAGGGGTGGAAAGAAAGTGAACTAAAGATGGAGAAGGGTTGAAAGAAAGAAAGAAAGAAAGAAAGAAAGAAAGAAAGGTATGGAAGAATGAAAAGAAAGAAAGAAAGAAAGATGGGATGGAAAGAAAGAGAAAAGGATGGAGGGATGAAAATGAAAGAGAAAGGGATTGAGGGATGGAAAGAAGGAAAGAGGAAGGGATGGAGGAATGGAAAGAAAGAGAAAGAGATGGAGGGATGGAAAGAGAAAGAGATGGAGGGATGGAAAGAAGGAAAGAGGAAGGGATGGAGGGATGGAAAGAAAGAGGAAGGGATGAGAAGAAGGAAAGAGGAAGGGGTGGAGGGATGGAAAGAAGAAGAGATGGAGGGATGGATAGAAAGAGAAAAAGATGGAGGGATGAGAAGAAGGAAAGAGGAAGGGGTGGAGGGATGGAAAGAAAGAGAAAAGGATGGAGGGATGGAAAGAAAGAGGACGGGATGAGAAGAAGGAAAGAGGAAGGGATGGATGGAAAGAGACAAGGATGAAGGAATGGAAAGAAAGAGGAAGGGATGAGGGAAAGAAAGAGGAAGGGATGAGAAGAAGGAAAGAGACAAGGATGGAGGGATGGAAAGAAAGAGGAAGGGATGAGAAGAAGGAAAGAGACAAGGATGGAGGGATGGAAAGAAAGAGGAAGGGATGAGAAGAAGGAAAGAGACAAGGATGGAGGGATGGAAAGAAGGAAAGTCTGGGAATATGTTGTATTCGAACTCCTCGAATCCAGCAAGATTCCGTTACAACCCAGGGCTGCGGCTGCGGCGGGTCTGCAGACGCGCTAGTCTGGCGGGGCGCTGAGTGAACTCACAACATCCCCGGGTTTCGCTGCTGGGGAGCAGCGGCAGAGCAGGGCGGCCTCGGCCTTTCACGTGTTACTTTCTGCAAAGATGATGCTTCCTTTAAAAAACCCACCCAAGCTATGTCAGGGCAGGAGCGCGCTCCATCTGCCATGCGATGTATTTCTAAGGGAGGGACGGGAAGACAAGGGAACCCCCTTCTGCCTCAAAAACCGAACCGACACAACCACAACCACCCCTCCGCGCCTCTCCTCTGGCCCCCGAGCCGCAGGGAAGGAATGTTTCTCCTCCTGTCTGGGCGGTGGGTTTCATGATCATTTGCCAGCTATGGGTCTAAATCCGGAGCGTTTACTCCTGGGAGTAAACTTTATTCGGGCGACGAGTCCTGCAGAGCCAGAATCCGGGGTCGGTTACACCGGTGTGACTCCAGATTCACACCCGGGGTAACTGAGGTCAGAATCCTCCCCCTGGCTGTGGACAGGAGTAAGGTAACCAGGGCAGGACCGCGCGCCGGAGTAGGAAATTTACTCCCCGTAGTAAAGTTTGGAGGATCGAGCCCTACAGCATCACAGCGGAGCTTCTCTGTGGCGCCCCGCTCAGCTCCTGTGAAATCCGAAGCCTCCCCTTCCAGTACGGGACGGAGAGGGGCTTTAGTTGGAGATTAACTCTTTCCTTTCTCTTGGGAACCCCAGACTGCACCGGCAGCGCATGGGTGCGAGCTAACCCTAGGGGCACGGGACGGGAGGCAAACGCCCCCCCCCCCCGCCGAGACCCCATCTCTTCCCGTCTATGTACAACCTCCGAGTAGGAGCCACACTGGAGAAACACCGCTCTCCGACTTCTCCGGGCTGCGGAGCTCCCAGCAATCGGACAAGGGTCTCAGCGCCGGGGTTTGCTGGACTCGGGCGAGGTAAGGTTCAGGGCACAGACGGTAACAATTTTACCAGACCCACAAATTCCTTCCCCCGCGCCCAGCCGGGAAAGGCGGTAACAATGACTAGAATCCGGAGCTAGCACTTTGGAAGGAAGACGTGGCGTGAACCGGATTGGGAGAAAGCATCAAGACCTTCCCTTAAAGACAAACTCCAGAGTCTTACGGCCAGCTAATACCCAATGCGAGCAGCGGGCTCTCCCCTTTAAACCACACAATGACATGCTATACAATGCAAGAGAGTTACAACTTCAGAGGCTTAATTTCTAAAGGTGGCAAAAGAAAGAATACAAAGAAACGAGAAAGAAAGAACAAATGACCAAAAGGAAAACGAAAGAAAGAAAGAAAGAAAGAAAGAAAGAAAGAAAGAAAGAAAGAAAGAAAGAAAGAAAGATCAAATAGAAAAGAACGAACAAATAAATCGATTAACAAGAGAGAACAATGAAAGAAAGAACAACGATCAAATACAAAAATGAACAGATGAATCGATGAACAAGAAAAAAAGGAAGATGAAAGAATGAACAATGATCAAATAAAAATTAACAAATGAATGGACAAGAAAGAAAGAAAGATGAAAAAGAACAATAATCAAATACAAACGAACAAATGAATGGATGAACAAGAAAGAAAGAAAGAACTAGGATCAAATAAAAATGAAAGAAAGAAAAGCGAAAGAATGAAAAATGATCAAGAAAGAAAGAAAGAAAGGAAGGAAGGAAGGAAGGAAGGAAGGTTCTAGCCTTAATTTGTTTGCTCTGGGCTCTGTGTTTGTTTTGGTTTTTACAAGGTTTGAATACAAAGAGTGTTAGGGGGTCATCCAGGAAGTGATCCATAAAATGCTCATTACCTCCATAATAAGTGTAAGGGGTAGAACCCAACATTTCAGATTCATCCAGCCTGCCTCCCAGAGGGCGCATGCGCCGAGGACTCCTGAAGAAGGCATGCCTCCTGGCCCCCAGCGCGCTCAGCTGTTTCATTCTCCTCTCTTTGGACCTTCGATTCTGGAACCAAACCTGCGGGCAAATGAAACCTCATCAGCAACGTGGTGACAACATCCACCCCCACCCCACCGCTCCCGCCCGCTGTCTCCCAAGGCCCTGTCAAGCCACCCGGGCGCTTTGGATGGGGCAGGCACAAGTTGATTCATTTGTTCTGACCTGCCTGATTTTAACCAGCCTGGCCTGTCTCTTGCACTACGTGTCTGCCACCAGGACGGCCTCGTCTCTAGATTAATCGACTAACGCCCTGATTGAGCTCTGCAATGTAGGGGCGCATAGATCTGCCGCTGTGCGCACATATACAGACAGATCGGGGAGGTGGTGTTAATAGGATGCCAGCTAAGAGGGGGGTTCCCTCCACATGATCGCCTCAAGATGTTCCAAGTTTTTCCCTGCAGGATTTGCCAGATGAAGGCAGCAGCAAGTCACATCCTGCCCCCCGCCAACTCCCAGCTGACAGGCTCCCCGAAGATCCGCTTTCCCATTCTTTGGACAAGCCGGATACTTTCTGGACCCTTTACAAGAGGCAGGCGAAGAGGCTCTGAAGAAAAATGAGGAGAAACTTTCAACCGGGGGATTAAACTCGGCAGTTTAGCCATGGAGCAGCTTGGCTTTGAATTAAAAAGAAGAGGAAAGTTGCGAGTGAACTCTGAGAACCATCCAAGAGTGAAGGATTTTTGCACACCCTTGGAGAGGTTTATAATGAAGTGTGCTTCCTACCCCCCTCCTCTAAAGCCTAGAAGACAGATTCATAAAGGCAATTAAAGGGACTTTTCAAACTACAAACCGTTGTGGGGGTGCCTGCTTTCCTAATCTAGCTATCCATCCATCGACAGACACGTAGAGCAATAGAGAGACAGCTAGAAACGTATAGCGATAAATGAGAACACAGATACCTAGATAAATAAATGAATATGTACAGCGCCCGATGCTAAAGGGGGAGGGGGGGAATTCTTGGACATTTTCCCATCTTGCAGGTTTCAGAGATGAAATACAGAACCCTTCATCCCCCCTTTTGTTTGGCCTGGAACATTTTTTTTTCACACGCTCAACACTATATATTTGCCAACAGAACAGCAAAAACGTCGTTGCATATATTACTTTAATAGTAGCAAGAGACCCGAACATACTTCTATGGTTCAGCTCAATCTATGGCTCTGTTTTGGGGATTGTTTTACCCCCCCCCCCCCCAGTTCCTCGTTAATATAAACGTGCAGATTCTCTGAACCAACGCTGTCATTATATCTTGTTGCAAAATGTCAAGATAGAGACAGCTCTCGGGTTGACCAGTTTAAAGGACTGAAGTTAATTTCTTCTCTAGACCCCCCCCCCCTTTGCTTTACAAAGGTTTCTTTTATAGTTTTAATTTATGATTCATGGAAATATTTTTTTCGGGGGAGGGGGGCTCTGAACTTTCTTGAGCTGATTGGCTTAGCCTGAAAGTTCCTCCAGGCAAGTACAGGATCAAGAGATTTTAGTGGAGAACTGACACTGCTTCAAATAAGTAAGCAGGAAACCGAACGGAGGCGGAGATGACACCGAGTTTGGAAGAACTTCCCACCAGGTGTTGGCTGGAGATGTAATAGTCCAGCCTGCTGGATTTTGCATCCAGCACCAGATACAGCCCATAGACCCGGAGCCCCTAGTGGGGACTGCTTGGTCGTGTTGTGGTGTTGGCTAGCATGGCCTCCATTTGCCTTGGCTTCAGCTCCCACTGATGTCAACCGGAGCTTTTTCATTGACCTCGATGGGAGCTGAGTCCGTTCTTTGGCTGCTCCAAAGCTCACTGAAATCAAGGGCAGTCGCTCCGCTTTGGCTCACTCACTCCACGCGCTGCCCAGAGTGCGGAGGGGCTCCGACTCCCCCGGGGAAGGCTGAGCCCCAAAGCTCCAGGCCGGCGGGGGTCAGCACGTCTGGCGTAAGGGCCAGCTCCAGAGGCCTGGGGTCTTTCCATGAGTTCAATGGGCTTTGGAGGAGGACGCTTGGGAGTGAGATTGAGCGCTGGCTTTTGCCTGAGGACTCTCCAGATGAAGAAACCAATTAGATAACCAGAGAGCTTCCAAACAAAATCTCCGATCAGCAGCGCTAGTACTAACCACGGTGGCCAATGATTAGAACTGTTAGCATAATATTGACAAGCGAAAATTGTCCTCTTGGTTAGGCACGAGGAAGCGTTCAGTATCCGGATAACACCCCGAGAGATAGAGAGGGAAGTGAGCGTGGGAGTGAGGAGCTCTGGGCTCGAGTCCCAACTTTGCCCCAAGCCCTAGGGGGGCACCTGAGCACATCACGTCACTGCCTTGTGCCTCAGTTTCCCCAGCTGTAAAATGGGGGGTTACCTCATTCGCAAAGCCCTTGAAAGGGGCGTGTGCAATTATTACAAAGGGGAGATATTCATAGCAAAGATCTACTTGGCCTCGCCTTTGTTTATATGCTAATTTCCTCCGACACTTTGGCGGCTTGCCAGATCCCTTTTCTTGACAGGTCACAACTCTCTCCCCCCTCCATCCCGCACTTCTCACAGCCCACCTGAAGTCACACTGCTGAGTTTGGGACGTCACAGTCATCTCCATGGCGACAGGCTGTGATGTAACAATAAAGGTGGCTGGGAGCTGTAACCCAATGGCGAGGGAAGCAGGACTGACTAGTGTAAGTGCTCGCCCCACCTGGTGAAGCAGATGCTGATGCTATGGGCGGTCACTCTAGTCCCTGTTTTTGATCCTTCCTCCTATGCTCTGCCAGGGCGCCCCTTGTAGCCGAGCTTGTCTGTACCTGGATCACTCTCATGTTGAGCCCCGTCTCCTGGGCCAGCTGTTCCCGGATGTGCCTGGTAGGTTTGGGGGTAGCAGCAAAGGCAGCCTTGAGAGTCTCCAGTTGCTTGGCTTTAATTGTAGTCCGAGGTCCCCTCCTCTTGGTGCCCGAGTTCTGCTCCTCGTTCTCGTTGTTGGTGGTCTCTTTGTCCGAGGAGGTGGAATTGTCTGTTTCCTTTGTATCATCCTGCATGGGGTCCTGGAGATCCGGGGACAAACTTCTGTCTGTACAGGAGGACACTGCAAGGGAGAGGCAGAGAGAGAGAGGGATGACTCTGGGCAGAGATGGGACCCTCAGCCCCCACTGTCCCTCCCCGGCAGGGGAGCGGAGGGGGGGGGGTGAACTGCTCTGGAGGTCAGATCCTCCTGACTCTCTGCGCTAATGTAACACGAACCGATCACTCCCCAGTGAACCCCACGAAGAGGTAATGAGGGGTCTGAATTAGCAGCAGCCCGGGCTCCTCGGTCTATGTGGCAACAGGGATGCACAACACCCCTGGCCTTTTCTGTCACTGGAGCAGGCAGAGGGTGTGACTCCGGTGTGAAACCCCTGGCTGCGGTGGCGTCGCATCGGATTTACACCAGGGTGACTGGATCCGGATGGCAGATTTGCAGCCCGTTGGCACAGAGGGGAGTTGTCCTGTCCCAGGCCCGAGGCTCCCACACTGGGGAAGGAAGCGGTTTCGTTTGGACCAGATGAGCGTTTTCCTTTCAGGCACAAACCGAGCCATAGCTGAGGACCAAGAACCCACTGCCACAAAGCCTTGGCTGTAACCACCCGGGCTCGGGGAGTGAATCACCGCCTGGGCCCTGCCTCATCCCCCCACGCTTCGGAGCCAGCGAACCCCTGGGCCTGGGGTCGGAAACGGGCCCACCCCCAAACAGGCCCCTCGCCTGGCTCAGAGCAGCGGCCCGAGGGAGCCGCCTGGCAAGATCCAGCCGCGGGTGCTGAAAGGAGACAGAGCCCAGGGCAAGGGGGTGAGCACAGCCCACAGGCAGAGACCGCTGGGCCAGCGAGGGCCCGATCCCGCCGCCCTGAGGCAGAGACAACTCCCAAGGATCGGGTCCACAACGCGTGCTCGTGCCTATGAATAGCCTGTTATGTCCACACCCGCCACAATGAGACACAGACATAGCAGGCTACCGGAGCTGGGGATCCGGGGTATTCATCCATTGCGTTTCGTGAGGGGCTCTGACGCCACAGGGGGAAAGACAGAGCGAGAGGAAGAAGGGAGGAAAATCTGAGGATTTGTGTGTGATTCTGGGGGAAAGGAAGAACGTTTATCCGCGGCGGGAGAAGGTGGAAGGCCTCGGACGCTCTTAGCCCCATGGCCGTGAGGGGATCGCTCCCCGGAGTGAGGGTTGGAAGCTCGGGGCCTTGTCTGGCTTCTCTTCGCATATAAGGAAGCCGGGAAAATATCCCAGGCCATGGGGCTTTTTTTTAAGATCGCAAAGCGTGGGCGGAGTTTAGGGGGAAGTAATGTTCGTAGCCAAATCGAACGGGAACCCGGAAAAAAACCACCTGTCTCCCCAAACTCCCACACCCCCCTTCCCCGGGCTGGTCACATGTTCCCAGCTGGGTCTGTAGATGTAACTGACAACGGCCGCTTTCCCCCAGCACCTGCTGAAGGTGCGGCCTGGATTTTGTTTAAATGGAAATCTCTCTTCGTTTTCCACTTCCAATCCTGGCTCAGACCTCCATCCCCCTTTCTTCCCTCCCCACCAGGTTTTAGTCCACTTTTCTACTCTCCCTCCCCCCTCTCCGAACCGCAAATATTTTGAGAAATAGGAAAAAATAAAAAGAGGGGGAAAAACAGATGTGTGTATAAAGATCGAAAATAATAAATCGGTAAAGGATTCCCCCCCCCAAAACACACCCACGGTTGTGGGTATCCGACAGCTATAGCTCAGGTTGTATCTGGTGCCAGAGAGGGATGCTTGTGTGTGTGTGTGTGTGTGTGTGTGTGTGTGTGTGTGTGTGTGTGTGTGTGTGTGTAGTGTGTGTGAGAGAGAGAGAGAGAGAGAGA